TTTTGCACGGGGCTCTGCGGGCAAGGCCGCCGCGGCAGCGTTTTTGAACGCCAGGCAGGGCACCGCGGCACTCGCTGCTCAGCCCGCGCCAGCAGGGCCACCCGGGAGGGACGGGGGGACAGCACCGCGCGGGCCCGCGGTGCGCCAGGCCGGGAGCAGGGCCGGGCCAGGCCACGGAGAACGGGGCTTTCATGCAGGGCGGACGGGGTGGACGCGGGAGCCCAGGCACCTACTCGCTGTTCTGGAGCGGCCTCACCGAAACTCTTAACGCTCGGCGCAACTTCGGAGCAACGTGACGAGTGACAGAGCGGCCCGCAGAGCCGCGGGGGGCTGCGTGGGCAGGGGAGCCAAGGTCACCTTTCCGCACAGGGACGCGGCAGCTCACACACCGTAACGCCACGAGCGAGTTCCTGCTCCGAACCTACGCGCCTGCCGCCAGGCGCAGGACAACGCACTCGCTTGCAAACATCTTCATACCTTTGGGCCAAGAGCACAGCCCAGCAGAACAGACTGCTGCCAGTTACAGAAGAGGAAAATACTGAACAAACTGGGAGGTTCGAGAGGAAAAGCTGGTTCAGAAGAGACAGATTTAGTGTAAAAATAAATGTCATTTTTGCAGGAGGGAGGGTGGAATGAAGGAAGACAGTGCCAGGTGCTCCTACTGGCGCACTTTTCCTGGGACATAATTCCTATCGATAGTCTCCTCTTGCAGGAACATGTGTAAGCAGCGCTCGTTCTGTGCCAGGGGGTGTCCAGCAATTCTGGAAGAGAATCAGAAGTGAAAATCAGCAAGCAAAAAAACTCTCCCCAAATCCACTTGCTGGAGCAAGCAAGACAGAGAGCGGCTCCAGTTTACGATCACACCTGGGGACACCTGACCGGCCTGAGGGGAACAAGCCCAGGGGCTTGAGCTTTTCAACATCAAATTGAAGCCTTGAAACAGCCACAGGTCAGGCCAAGGTCACTGCATCAGTGTGCAACAAACTGGGGAAGAGTCACTCGAGCGATCCCTCCGCTAGCGAGCTGGGCATCCCGACACACCGCTGAGTCTCTGCGGCGCATCTCCCCGGCTAAGGTGCACCTCACCCGCAGCACAGAGGGCTGAGAGCACCTCCCTGGAGGCAGGACTTGCTTCAGAAACGTCACTCTGTCACCGAGCTGCCCTTCAGCAGGGCGCTTCACGCCCTGGATCAAGGTTCCTTCCTGCTCAACCCACCACCTGGCAGGGCGGGCACGCGACGGGGCACCGAACTTACTTGTTAATAAACTGTTCTAGTCCCTGTCTCCGCTCTTCGATGAAGGACTCCTCAAAGATGCCTTCGTCTCCTCGGAAGGGAAGCTGTCGTTTCAAAGCTTTTCCAGGCAGCGGTGGCACTACAATCTGAAAGCACAGAACTGCCATGAGCAGAACTGCCCCCTGCAAGAGAGGGCCCTGCCCTGTGCAGGACTGACCTCTAGCATCAGCATTTGGCAGAGATCAAGCCCCAGCAGCAGCCCAAACAGCTTCTACTTGGGCAAGGCACAGGATCACAGAAGGGTTGAGGTTGGATGGGACCTCTAGAGATCACCTAGTCCAGCCCCCTGCTCCAGCAGGGACACCCAGAGCAGGGCACAGGGTGGCATCCAGGTGGGTTGAAGATCTCCAGAGAAGGAGCCTCCACAGCCTCTCTGGGCAGCCTGTGCCAGGGCTCTGGCACCCTCACACCAAAGAAGTTCTTCCTCACATGGAGGTGGAACTGCCTGTGTTTCAATTTGTACCCATTATCCCCATCCTGTCACTGGCCACCACCAAGAAGAGTTTAGCCCCGTCCTCTTTACATTCTCCTCTCAGGTCTTTGCACATAATGATCAGATCCCCTCTCAGCCTTCTCTTCTCCACATCAACCAGGCCCAGCTCGCCTAGTCTGTCCTCATACAACAGACGCTCCAGTCCCTTCATCATCTCCGTTGCTCTGCGCTGGACCCGCTCTAGAAGCTCCACGTCCCTCTTGTCCTGGGCCCAATGCCCCAGGTGCAGCCTCACCAGAGCTGAGGAGAGGGGCAGCACCAAACAACAGGACTTCTGCTCCGACCCTTCCCGTGTGTCCCCGCTGCAGGAGCGGCTTCGAGCAGGGCCTCACCTTACTGTCTCGCTCCAGCTCATTCTTCAGCCATTCGAAGTCACTGTATCTTCTCCTCACACACGACTCCTTCAGTTTGAAGATGGGGAGGTTTGTCTGTAACGAAGAGAAGCAGTTAATTTGCAGGTTGGCTGGGGAGCCAGATAGCATTTCAAGACGTCGCTGGAACCTGAAGCTGCGCTTGGAAAGCCAAGGCCCGGAGGAGGACGCGTCACGGGAACACCCAGCTCCGTTATCCGCAACACAAGCAGCGAAGCCCTTCAAAACCAGGCAGGCCCTTGCCAGGCTGCTTGGAGCCGGCCGTTCCCTCCCCCTCAGGCTGCTATTTCAGGAACACTCCCCTCCCGGGGCACGCGCTGGAACCAGGGCTCCTGCTACAGAAAAGCCTCATTTCCCCCCCAACATTTCACAGCATTTTGGACTGGTGCTCAAGGAGGCTTCGGAGCAGCTTGCAGGGCTAAGGAACCTCCCACCTGGCACTGCCGTTTCCATGGAAGAACTAAGGGAGGAAATCTTGTTCCAGCAACCATCCAAGGCCAAACCTCGCGCTACAATCTTCCCGAAAGAACACACTTGACACCCAAGTGGAAAAGCGCTTTTTCCATAACCAGCCTGGGTCATGATAGCAGCTCGCAGCAGTTCACCCCCCTTTCCCCTCATGCTGGCATCTGAAGCCTGGGAGCTACAGAGCCTCCCCACTACAGACCCCCCTCAGGCCCCCCGAAACTCCCCAGGAACGGAGGCCGCCGAGCCCGCTGACAGGGCAGCGCCCGCTGTGCGCAGCTGCTGCTCCACGCACGCAGCTCCGTCCTCACGAGGGCTGCAAAACCAAACCACTTGCTTTGGGAGCACCTGCGCAAGAGCTCGTGTCTGGGAGGCGATGG